GAAGGAAGTTCTTATGATTCAAAAGGGAAAGGGGTTCAAGAAGAAGGGGCAAAAGGCTAGTGCCAAGAGCAAGGGCAAGCAAGTTTCCAAGGCTCCTGAAAAGCCTAAGACGACTCCAAAGCCCAAGGCTGCAAGTGAAAGTGAATGCTTTTACTGCAAGAAGAAGGGGCATTGGAAGCGAAAATGACAGAAATACCATGACTTCCTCAAGAATAATGGAGCATCAATCTCAGGTATTATGTTATAAACATTTTAACATTCACTTAGGTATGTGATACCAAGTTGAAGTGCTAAACATAGTGATGTTGCGCAGGAACTGCAAACAAGTGAAGCTAGCATGGAAATGGAGCTTGAAGGTGCACTAGAAGTATTTGAGTGGCCAGAGATAGCTTCATAGTTTTAAATTTTTGATTACTTTATCATGATTTTAGAACAATTTCCAGTTTTGATGAGACAATATTTCGGTTTTCTTGTTTTGAATACTGAATTTGGTTTACTTGGCTTGGACAAGTGTTGATCCATGACCAAGGTAATAAATTGTTTTCATTTTGCTAGATATGAGTTAATTTTGTTTTATGACATTGATATAAGTAGATCACAAAAGTAAATTTAGATGATTCAAAGTACACTTACTTATAACAAGTAAGGTTAGGTCACATTAACCATTTGCACATCCAAAGTTTTGGATGGACTCTCATTCTTATATGATTATGAATAACTTGAGAATTAGAAGTCATGCTTGATAAGTTAAGATGACCAAGTTGCCTTTAAGTAAAAAAGGGTAAAAGAAGCTAAAATGACCTTTTGGAACTCATACATATGATGTATGTGAACCAATAAGTTCAAAATTAGCAAAGAGATTTAACTATTCCATTGCTTTTACTAACGATTTAAGTAAATAAATTGATAATTACTTAATGAAGTAAAGCTTGGAAACATTGAAATGTTCAAAATTTCCAAAAATGAAATGTAAAATTAGTTTGAGATAAAACAATTTAATACTACAATATGATTGTTGTGATAAATTTAACTCAAAAGGAATGATCATCTAGAGGGAATTGTTGAATTAATTCACAATCAAGAAACATTACAATTAAAATGTATGTTTATGAAGAAGGAATCAAACTTTGCTTGCCATTGTTCGATCTAAAATTTAATGATTTACAAATATCGTTTTCAGGATATGCATTAGAACAAAAACAATTGCAAATATACTAAACAGGAAACTTAACCAAAGCAGTAGAAGAGATGTCATAAGAGTTATGATTTGGAAATGTTCCAAAAGTTATCTTTTCTAAACAGGATTGAAGGATATGAAATCAATGTAAAATGTTTACAAAGATAACATAATACACCCTAAATCAGAAAAATAGTTCTTCATGGGTTTTCTCATGGAAACTAAGAGGTATTATTCCTACAATCGCGTAGAAACAAAGTGTTTGTTGCTCGCGATAGTGTCTTTATAGAAAGAATGTCTTCCTACAAAGCCAAGTGGGAGTAAAGTTAGATCTTGATGAGATTCGATACGAGCAATAAATGGATGTGGATAACACTACATCAGAGACGAAGGCATATGAAATCAGTTAATTTGATAAACCATATGTCGAAGCAAGCTAATTCCACTAGCGAGGCTTCTATCGTCCCACTAGAATGAAAGGCTTTCAAAGAGTTGAAGAGAATAATTCTATTGTCGCTCATACCTATCGTAGGTTACTTGGGATCAAAACAAACAGTTTGTTGAAATTATGAGAAAAGGTGGATTCTAAAATTTTCCTATTGGAATGGTTGGAACCCATGCCTACAAGCAAGCTTTGGATAAATGCCAACTTAGGAAATGGCTTAAAGCCATGAAATCCAATATGGACTCCATGTTTGTAAAAATGTGTTAGTCCATAATAGTCTTACAAATAGGGTCAAACCTATTAGTTGGGTAAGCCTATTCGGATTATTCTAGTTATGGATATCAAAATCACTTTCATAAAATGTTCTTGATAGTGAACATGTATATGATACTTCCTAAGAATTTTGAAATCCAGACATTCCTAGAAAGTTATTGCAAACTTCAGAAATTCATTTTATGGATTGAAGTAAGCATCAGGGAGTTGGAATATTCGTTTTGATTAGGAAATCAAACAGTTTGATTTCCTTAGTAGAACGAAAGAATTCTTGTAGAGACAAGAAGTTTAGTGGGAGCAATTGGTCTTTTAGTCTAGTATGTAGTTGACATACAGTCCATATGAAATGATATATCAATGCTTGAATAAGTCAAGCAGTGGTTAGAAAGATTGTTTCAATATGATAGACTTAGGAGATGTTGAGTACATATTGGGAATTAAGATCCATGAAGTAAATCTTGAAGAATGATTGGAATGAATTGAGAGACTTATTTTGATAAGGACCTTGACAAGTTCATGAAGCAAGACTCTAAGAGAGGATGTCTTCCCATGTTTCATGGTATTACACTCAGTAAAACTCAGTGCCTTCAAAAGCTAATAGAGTAAAGTTGTATGGATAGTGTACCTCATGCTTTTGCAAAAGGGTCCATTACTTGTGCCATGAAATGTACAAAGCAAGATGTTGCATATGACTTGTGCATGTGTAGCAGGTTTCAAGCCAATTCAGAATAAGCATACAGAGAATTACCAAGAACAGATCCTTAAGTACTTGAGAAGCACTAAAAGGAATTCATCTAGCTATTATGTTAAATAGTAATTTAAGCAAGTTGTCAAAAGGTTACATGAATGCAAGTTTTTTTCAAACAGGCAAGATGATTCTAGATGGTGATCTAAATGCATATTTGCGTCTGAATGGAAAAGGACAGTGAGCTTGAAGAGTTCAAAGCAGAGAACTGTTGCATAATCAATGTCAGAATATGTGTATTAAAATATAGTGAGATAGTTAGAGAGAAAGTTCGGATTAAAATGTCATGTGACTAACAAGTCACTTTTGCCCAAAAACAAAAAAGGAGCCAGAGTCACATCACAAATCCAAACAAAAGGATATGAGATATCACCCCAATTATGAGATCATTGACCAGCGGAAGGTCATGTTCTGCAAAGTTTTATTATGAGTGAGAAATCACTAAACCCCTTCCATGGACTAAGATATGAGAGTCATATTAAAGTCTTAGGATTGTAGCAAGTTTTGTAATTTAAGTTGTATATGTTTTGAGAAAACATATTACATGAGAAATGCATCAATTTGCAGAATTATGTTTATAATAGAAATTATTATTTCTCTTATTTAATTATGGTTTTGGAAATTAAATAAAATGTCCAAAATAACTATGAATTGATGGGCTCATCAGGTTGATGACCTGGTGAATTGAAACCCCACAGGTGAACAAAATTCATATATTATTTAAAGTTCCTAGTTCGAGATCATTAAAGTGGAAATAAATGATTTCAATAAATGAACTAGCATGTAAGATTGATTGGATAGCGCAGTTTCATGGGCTATAGGGGCATAGAGATGCTCGGTTAATCACTTGGATATGCATGAATGATGCATGATCGAACTATTGACCTACTTTGAAGTTCAAGTATAAAGCTTCCGTATATATTAGTGGATTCCTTTGACATGAGTGAAACATTGATTTCATTCAATGGATGTTGTGGCTGTGGTACACTCAAACGTCTAGCCGTAACTGGAGATTATAAAGGGTGTTTCCCGGTTATTTCGGAAGTTAAGTGGGAGTCATGTTACCACAAGATTGGATAGAGTGTACCTATTAAATTAGGAAATGTGTCATGGCCGCTTGAAGAGGGAGAATTCAGAAAATACGTGGCCGCGTTCAAATGTATTACACAATAATCATTTAGTTTTGTAATTCTAACTCAGATTTCAAGAAACGATTTGTAGATTAATATGATCTCGACATGTGATGCAATCATATTATCAAATCGACACATATATTGACTTAAGGAATTTGAATATTGCACCCTTGTCTCAGACAAGTGGGAGATTGAAGGAGTTATGTCTTCGTCGTGTGCAATTACTAGATATATAAATGGATCAAATTATGGATATAATTAAGTTCGTACATTTGGGTCGTCGTTTTTCCATAGCTAGAGGTACCAACGATCTTTGGACTAGTAAAATAGGCCAAAGCCCAATTGGACGGATCCTATAAGGTCACACAAAGGGGCTAGATCAAGCATTAGAGGACGAGGCCCATCATGGACCTCATCACTCTAGGTGGCCGGCCATGTAGGGGAATTAAGAGTGTTTTAGGCTTCGTGCCCTAGTCTGATTATAATGAGATTATAAATAGACTAGGTGCCTAGGTTTGCAGGGTGTAGAAGCAATTAACTGATCAGTGTGATCAATCCCGAATTAGCAAACACGAAACCCAACCCTCTCAAAGTCCTCTCTCTCACACGGCTCTCTCCTCCTCCTAGGCGCCAGTGATGTGTCGCGGTGGTGGTGGTTTGTGCGGTGGTCGGTTGTCTATAAAGGTGGTGATCGCGGTTTTCCTCAATCACTTGACCAATCTAGTATTGGTGGACGGCTCGTTCGAATCTCGTGGACTAAGTAGAGGAGCATTGCTTGGGGCTCTATTCTCTCCCTGATTTGCCTGTCGAATAGCTTTGTGTAATTCACGCGTCAAAGGTATGATTATGTTTCTTGTCTGTTATGCATGTGATTCTTGGGATTGGTACTTGATTGAATATGATTCATATTTTTTCGCTGCGTAGTACCTATAAACTCCTACAGTTTCACGCGGCGTTTCTGCGTAGACTATGAAAGTGCAAATAAGCATAAGTAGAATGGAAAATAATATAACAATGTTTGACTTTTCATTAATTTGTCAAAATTACATTGTTGTGGTTGTACGGCTTACATTGCTCGGTCAACAGACCTAGCTGTATATACAGCGTTTGGCTAAGTACTAAAAAAAAACTTAAACATAATATTTCTTCAAGTTGTCAGTGTTCCATGTACGCAGAATCTGACGATCGTTCATGGCTTCGAGACGGTAAGTACCATCTCGGACTTCTTCACTGATTCGATACGGCCTTTCCCAGTTTGGGGTCAGCTTCATCCTCATTTTCCCGACCCACAGCCTCCATTTTCCTTAGGACCAGATCTACCATTTTCAGCGGACGCTTTGACACTCGGCGATTGTATGCCCTTGTCATCCTTAGGCGATAAATTTCATGCCTAAGCGCCGCATTGCCCCTAGCTTCTGGAAGGAAGTCTAGGGCAGTCTTCATGGCTTTCCAATTGGTCGCTTCATCATATAGCATCACCCTAAGAGTGGGCTCATACATCTCAATTGGGAGAACAGCCTCAGCGTTGTACACCAAAAAGAATGGGGTTTCCCCTGTGGAGCTCTTGACCGTTGTTCGTATAGACCACAATATATTGACCAACTCATCAGCCCATAGGCCGCCTGCCTTTTCAAGTTTGCGCTTGATACCATTGGAGATCAACTTGTTGTATGCCTCTACCTGGTCGTTAGCTTGTGGTCGGCCAACTGAAGCAAAGCAATGAGATATGCCATGGTCTTCCAACCACTCCTTAAGTTGAGGCGTTTCGAACTGGGGGCCCATTGTCAAACACCATAGACTGAGGAACTCCAAAACGTGTAATGATACTCTTCCATATGAAGGCTGAAACATCCGTCCACTTGATGCCCCGTACAGCCTTGGCCTCCACCCACTTTGTGAAGTAGTCTACTGCTACAAACACATAACGCCTTTGACCAGATGCTGGCGTGTACGGTCCTAAGATATCCATCCCCCATTTGGAAAAGGGGAGCGGACTACTTCTGGCCGACAGACTGTTAGCAGGGCGATGGATCAAGGTTGCAAATCTCTGGCACTTGTCACATTTTTTCACCATTTTCATGGCGTCCGACTTTAAACTCGGTCAGTAGTACCCTAGATGGGCAGCCTTTTCAGTCAAGGCTCGCCCTCCAATATGGGAGCCGCAGTGCCCCTGGTAGAGGTCGTCCAGGACATCATGCCCCTTCTCAGGAGTAATACACTTCAGGTACGGCTTCACAAATGCTTTTTTAAACAACTCCCCCTGCTTCATTTTGAACCAGGCCGCTCTCTTCTTCATCAGCCAACTCTCCTTAGGATCGGCCGGAAGTAACCCAGCCCTTAAATAAGAAATGATCCCGTCCATCCAAGTGGAGCTTCTATCAATGATTTTTACTGGCTCGGCATCAATACTCCTTCTTTCCTTTACCTCCCAAAATACTGATCCGGGGGTATCACACGATGCTGAGGATGCTAATTTAGAGAGGGCGTCCGCCTGATGATTAGACGAACGAGGAACTTGTTGCAGAGTAAAATGATCTAGGCCCTTTGCCTCCTCCTTGACAATCTTCAAGTATTTCATCATAGCCGGCTCCCTTGCCTCAAAGTCTCCGTTCACCTGGCCGACTACAAGTAGGGAGTCCGAGCTTACATCCACTTTTGTTGCTCCTGCCGCCTTACACATTCTAAGGCCGGCCAGGAGAGCTTCATACTCGGCCTCATTATTAGAGGCTTGGAACTGAAATCTCAGAGCATACTCAAACTTATCTCCCTCGGGAGACTGACATATGATACCTGCGCCACACCCGGTAGCTGTTGCACTACCGTCCACGAACACCTTCCAGATCTGATCTCCAGCCGGCTGAAGATCAGGCCGAGTCATCTCAGCTAAGAAATCAGCAAAGGCTTGTCCCTTGATTTCTTTTCTTGGCTCAAACGTAATGTCAAAGCCTCTCATTCCAAGGCCCACTTGAGCATACGGCCACTGGCCTCTAAGGTTGTAATGGCTTCTTCAGGGGTTGGTCCGTGTAGACCACAATTGAATGTGCCAAGAAGTACAGCCGTAACTTTTTTGATGCCATGTACAATGCTAAGCCAAATTTTTCAACAGGGGGGTACCTCAGCTCGGCGTTGTGGAGTACATGGCTGATAAAATAGACTGGGATCTGGTGGCCGTCCTTTCAGCTAGCAGGACGGCACTTAGAGAGTGTTCAGAGATGGCGAGATAGATAAATAGCTTCTCATTCTTGAGTGGACTGACGAGCCGAGGCAACGTATGCATATGGCTTTTTAGCTGTACGAGTGCTTCCTCGGCCTCCTCTGTCCACTCAAACATGCCTTTCTTCTTGATGGTTTGAAATAAATAACGGCACTTATCCCCTGACCTTGACATAAATCTACCAAGTGCTGCTAAACAGCCGGTCAGTCTTTGTACTTCCTTAATCTTCCTTGGTGACTTCATGTCCAGGACAACTTGAATATTTTCAGGGTTGGCCTCCATTCCACGTTGGTCAATCAAAAATTCAAGAAATTTACCGAAATCAACACCAAAGACACATTTCTTTGGATTTAACATCATCTTATGCCGCCTGAGTTCGGTAAAAGTTTCTCGCAGATCCTTCAGGTGGTCGGCCGGCTCTTTCAACTTGACAATCATGTCATCAATGTATGCCTCCATATTCCGGCTGAGCTGATCTTTGAAGACTGTATTAACAAGTAGTTGAAAGGTAGATGGGGCATTCTTGAGGTCGAATGGCATAACTTTGTAACAGTACAACCCCTGCTCAGTTATGAACGCTGTTTTCTCTTGATCTTCTTCCCATAAGGGAATTTGATGGAATCCGGAGTATGCGTCCATGAAACTCATCAGGGCATGCTCGGCTGTTGAATCAACAAGGCGGTCAATTTTAGGCAAGGGAAAGCTATCCTTAGGGCATGCCTTGTTCAGATCGGTGTAATCCACACACATTCTCCAAGTTCCATTCGGCTTCTTCACGAGAACTACATTGGCTACCCAGTCTGGGTAATAACATTGCTGAATGAAACCGGCGTCCAACATCAGTTTTACCTCAACTGCGGCCGCCTGATTCCTCTCTTCTCCATGATTTCTTTTCTTTAAGCGGACAAGTTTAACGGCTGGGTTCACAGCCAGCTTGTGCACAGCCATGTCAGGACTTATTCCTAGCATCTCACCAACGTCAAATGCAAATACATATTTGAATTCTCTCAGCAGTTGAGCTAACTCATTCCCAAGCAAACCCAAAGCTATAGTGCCCACACTAACCTTCCGATCTGGTTGATCGGGGTCAAGCACTATATCTTGGTGACTGCCAGCCGGGTGGGGCCTTAACTCTTCTAGCCGACCAACAGTCTTTAGCTGCTATGCTTGCTCTATCTTGGTCGCCTTACGCTTCTGGCCGACCTGGTATGCTGGGGGTGAGGTTCCTTCTTCTTTTGGCTCAGACACTTTTGCTCCGCGTGCTGTAGGCTTAACGGCCAATTGATTACATTCCTTAGCCATTTTCTGACTCCCTTAGATTGTCCCAACTTTTCCGTCCGTCCTCTCGAACTTTAGCAGCATTAGATAAGGTACAATGACTGCTTTGGCTGCATTCAGTGTAGGACGGCCAAGTATAACATTATATCCAGTCAACTCTTTTACAACCAGGAAGCGGACAACCATATCTCTTCCTTGCCCTTTTTTTCCAAAGCGGACGGGTAGGTCTATCCGCCCAACTGGGTGGATAATATTCCCCCTAAATCCTACCAACGGGTGAGTGATGTCCTGAAGAGCATCCTCTGGAAAGCTTAGATTCTTCAAGGCGGCCAAGCTGATGATGTCAGCCGAGCTACCTGTATCAATCAATATTCGTCCAACCTTCAAATTGGCTATCTTCATAATGAATAGCATGGGATCATTGTGCAGGGATTTGACCTCCCCCCGGTCAGCCTCACTGATGATTACTTTGGGAAAGGGTTCGGCCTTTACTGCATCCGCTTGCATCACCTTTCCCAAATTCCAGGCGTCCTGCTTGATCCCTTTCATGGTTGGGCCCCTGAGGCGAAGCCTCCTGATATCACAACCACAAAGCCCGAATCAGTGCTATTCCCATCATGTTCCTTGTCTTTGCTCGTATCATTTTTCTGCCTCTTCTCGGACGTGTAGTCTGTCCGTGTGCAAGTGAATTTGGAGTTCATCACATAAAAGTTCAGCATGCCCTTCTCGACTAGCTTGTCCAACAATCTCTTCAAATTGATACAATCGTTCGTGTCATGTCCCACGTCCTTGTGGTAATGACAGTACTTGTTCTTGTTCCTGTATTGATTCGGGCCTCTCAACGGCTGTGGCTTTTCAAACTCAAACTTATCCTTGATTTCCATCAACTGAGGCTCGTACGTCTTAACCTTCTTGGACTTCTGCGGCTGGCCATCGGCCACCCAGACTTCTTTTCTCTTTTTTCCTTCTTTCTTTTGGTCGGCCGAGTCTTGCTAAGAAGATTGTTTCTTCTCAGCCCCCTTGTCCGGCGCTTCTGATTTTGTGAGCGAACAAAAGTCCGCCGCTTCAATATAAGCTTCAGATTCTCGCAAAACACCTGCATATGTCCGAATCTTTTTCCTTACCAGGTCAAATTTAAAACCATTATTCCATAATCCTCGGAGAAATTCAGAGTAAGCCATTTCATCCGACAGATTATGAATTTGGGCTTTTTCTTGGTTAAATCGTTGGACGTACGACCGTAGGCCCTCATTCTTCCCTTGAACAATTGTTGCCAAATTAAGGCTAGTCTATCGAGGTGGTATGTTGTATGAAAAATTTCCCACAAACAGTAAACTAAGAGTAGTGAAGCAATTGATACATCCGGCCAGGAGGCTATTGAACCAATCCTGTGCCACACCCTTCAAAGTGGCCGGAAAGCATTTGCACCAGGTATCATCATCTACACTTTGCAAGTACATCAGGTTTCTGTACGAGGTGATGTGTTCTTCTAGGTTTCCCGTACCATCATAAGCTCCCACAAGTACATTCTTCACCTTCGGCGGCTGAGGGGCAGTTAAAATATCTTGCAAAAACAGAGGCGGCTTATCTCCCAGAGTCAGCAGGCGCATCTGCAATTCAATTGGTTGTGGCTGCACGGACGGTCCAGCCAGGTAGGGAGCCTGACCGTATGCCTGTCCGTATTGCCCATATTGTTCGAAGACTAGGGGATTCGGCTGCATCAAGCCATTGAAACCTTGGGGAGATTGATATTTGATGTGTCTATTTTATATAGTATTTTACCCCCGTCCCTTGGTCATAATTAGTAGTGTTTTTGGCTCTTTTGAGCCACTTTTATTACTAATTAGTGTTTTCTAGTGTTTTTGTAGTTTTGGTTGAGTTTTGCAGGAAATTGCACTTTTGGAGCATTTTCCCGGGTTTTCATGGATCAACTACGGAAATTAGAGGAGCACGACCATCTTTGAATCCCAAGGCCGGTTAGAGCCATCGAACCGATGATTAAGGGCTCGGTATATCCAGATTGGCCCGAAGAATTGGAGCCTAATCGTAGCCTAAATAGTGACCCAAGAGAACCGCCCGGCCAAAGATGTTGGCGCCCGGAGGCACGCCCGAACGGGCGAGGGAAGTAAGGCTGGCGCCCGAAGTCGCGCCCGGCCGGGCGAGAGAAATGTACCTGATGGAAAAAGGTGCGCCCGATCGGGCGGTGCCTCGCCCGATCGGGCGCGTGTTATTGTTAGGAGTTAATTATTCGACGTTTAAGTTGTTTTAGTTTAGGATTCTTATGGAGTATAAATACTTCTCCGTAAAACGAGTTTAGGATCTTTTTTTTTTTTACTCTCCCTTAATTATTTCTTAGATTTTCTCTCTCTACTTAGCTTTTAGATTAGTTTTCTCTCTCTTATACTTTGTTCTCAACTCTATTCTTAATTCCAGATTTATTTGGTAACGATTTCCCTTCTCTTAATCTTAGTTGTCTATTTTATTCCTTTGATCATGACCTGTTTTATTGCTTTGATTAGTTTAGTTTTTATTATGTGTGAGTAGTTCTATTTCTAGGGTTTATGGGGATTCATAAATAATATGAAGGGGTAATTTATGGTTGTTAATTGTCAATGCTAGATTAATTTCCTATTGATTGATTTAATGCTCTGTGACTAAATCTACGCAGATCTTTTATGCATGAGTTTGACAATATTGATTCGAGACTCGACAGATGAAAATTAATATTTAGGTCTAGTTTCAATAGGCAGGTTAATTTAAAAATGGTTAAGTCGAGATTCGAGAGATAAGATTTAATACCGGTAAATTAATTGTGTGATTGTAATACGTAGCGAAAGCCCTTTATGATTTGATTAATGTATGCATTGATGATTGATTATTGTGTTTTACCTAGGAATATTATTTATCGGTGAACCTATGCCCTAGATCCTTTTATTCATTGTTTTCTCTTTATTCTTAATCTTCGCAGTTTAGTTTCATATCCAAATTTACATATTGGTTACTTTATAATTTAGATTACTTTAATTAATTAGGAATAGAAAGACTCGTTTCTTTGTGGATTCGACCCTACTTTCCAATCTACATTAGTTAGAGGATTTAGGAATTACTTTTTATTAGAGGATACGACTCTACCCTGTCAAATATTGAAGTGATTGGATTGGAATAGGAGTTGGAGTGCGGACAGCCTGACTTCTGCTGGAGATGGTCGTGTTGGTATGCTAGGAGAGAGTATGATTTGAAAAATCATCCGGCATAGTTGGGGTTAAGGCCGTCTCCGAGTAAGCGGCACGTTCCCGCTGCTTATGCCGAAGATAATCCCTTGGGTCCTTCCATCGTCTAGACGGCTCTGTCTTTTCTCTTCGAGGCTGCCTACTCCTCCCCCCAGCCGACTGTGTTTTTGCCAACAGATCAGAGAAATTTGTACGCAGTACCCTTGGGGACCTTCCAGTCGCCCTACGAATTGGGGTGTTTCCAGCGTCCGTTGCATTAGCCGCTTTGCTTTGTGCTTTCTTTCGAGCCCTCTCCCCCTCTCTCCTGGGCGGCTGCCTAGAGGTAGAGGCTCCGTTTCACTCAATCTCCTTCCGGAGCTTGTTAAGTGCGGCCTTCAGAGAGGCTCCGGTAACAGGAGTGTCATAGCTTCTTGAAATGTGGCAATCAGCGGATCGCTGGTACAGATTGTAGGGATTATATCCTCTACATGTCCGTCCTCACCTGGATTAGGTGTCTGACTGTCTATTTCCATAACGGACGAGTATCCCCACAGACAGCGCCAAATATTTCGGGTATTTTTTGGATTTCCTTGGATACTGGTCACGCTCTTCTAGTAACGAGACTAAGACACCTGCAAAACAACGAATATTCCGTTGTCGGAATATTCGCCTCCGAAGATCAAGTCAATGATCAGAAACGGAAAAGGATAGAGAGAGAAAGTAGAGAGAAGTTGGGGCTATTAATGCTCTTTTTCTTGTAATGTCTTAATCCACCCTTCCCATCATAAATGATTAGGGTATTTAGAGGGGTGGAGCTTTGCGGCTTTCAATTATATCTCTCGGGATTTGGGCCCTGATGTAATTAGGCCTCTTTTGCGTGCTGATTTCAGGGGTCATATATGCCCTAAACACGTGGCATCTTCCTGTAACGACACGTGTCACCCTCTCATTGGGCACGTATCGCTACAGGATTCGCCTGAGCCCTTGAGCGCTTTTTAGGCTGGATGCGTGGCATCTTCCCATAGTGACACGTGTCACCCTCTAACTGGGCCACGTGTCGCTACGAGACTGGTCCACGTGTATGGGATATTTTTACCCTCAACAGGTATGGGTCTACACTTTTTGGACCCAGACCTGACCTATTAAAACAAGACCCATACCTGACCCTGACTCATCGGGTCTAAAATTTAAGGAACCATACCTTAAAATATGGGTCTCTAGGTCTGGTCCAGGACTCATCGTCATCTCTAACCTCCACTGCCCAGGTCGCAATCTTACAGTTGCATCAATTAGCCAACCACTATCCCCACCCTTAATTTTGACCTTCACCTTCAATTTTGTTGGTGTCTTTTTTCAATCAATTCGATTCTAATTCAACCTTCTTTCTCTTCATCGAGATTTGATGGGTGGTTTCTCTGTCGTCGATCTTCCAAATTGGGATTTGCTAGAGAGAAATTGGAGATTATTTTTAGGGTTATTAGGGTTTTGGGTTGCAATCAGGAATTGGGGAAAGGATTGGAAGGAATAGGAGGGGAAGTCCGGCAGGGTAAGGAATCGAGATCGTCGGCCAGGGGAGGGTTATCAGGTGGTTACAATTGCTAAAAACCGAAATTGAGACGGAGGTACATCCAATGGAATGTTGTTAAAAAAACAAGCAAGCCCGAAAATATCTTAAATCCATGAATGGGGGACCTCTGTTTGTTCTACCATTATGGAAACACTACGTGACGCATTGTCGGTGTTGTAACTGTTGTTAAGGAATTTTATGACGATAGCGATGACGGCGGAATTGCGGTGGATGTGGAAGAGGTCGGAGCGATGAGGAGGCTGGTGGATTTGGCAGAAATGAAGATGGATGATCAAATGAAGGCGTCATAGTTTGAGGTTCTGGGTTGTCGTAATTGAGGAGAGGTTTTTAAATAAAAATTAATTATAAAAAAAAATAAAAGAAATTAACCATAATTAGTAATCAATCATTCAGGTTTATCAATTACCAAAGATAATAATTAAGAATTTTCGCAATTCACCACTAAAAAAAATTAAAAACTACAGTGCTACTAAAGAGAATTTCCCCTTTTTTTTTTTTTTTTTTTTTTTTTGCAAATGGTACATCATGTGCACTAGGAGGGAAACATCCTAATACAACATGATAAAAGTGTTGTTTTTCCAACTATAATTGGCAAACCTGTAACATCATCTTTAGTTCTTTACAATACTCTAGAATGCTCAAATATAAAAAGGTTGTCTTTATATTTATAATTATGAAGAAATAAAAGGCTAAGGGTTCTTTCGGCATCGCGGTGGTATTCAGTTTTTTGGTTTCTTAAAATCATATATATA